GATAGGTAGATAGGTAGATAGGTAGACAGGTAGATAGGTAGATAGACAGGTAGATAGGTAGGTAGATAGGTAGATAGGTAGATAGGTAGATAGGTAGACAGGTAGATAGATAGATAACAGACAGACAGACAGACAGACAGACAGACGGGCGGGCGGACGGACGGACAGACAGACAGACAGAGAGATAGGTAGATAGATAGATAGATAGATAGGTCGGTAGATAGATAGATAGATAGATAGATAGATAGATAGATAGATAGATAGATAGATAGCGTTAAATTAGATCAGATAGGAGATAGTTAGATACATATGTAGTGGGTAGATTGATAGGTATAGGTCTATTGAGAGCCTCAGGTGCGCGACAACGTGGGATGGAGGGAATTGGAGAGGCAGGGGAAGCTGGGAAGGAGGGCGCGGAGGAGTGGGGGGGGGGGGGGGGTCTATTTCTGCTGCAACAATGGTGAAATGGGCAGTGGAAAGGCCCCTTTTTCCCTCTGCTCGTCCTTGGTAGTGGCGGGCTGACAGCGACAGGGACAATGTTCGTGGGAAAATAAATAAGATAGAGAAAATATCTCTCTCCCTCCCCCTCCCCCATCTGGGCGTTTAATTTCCAGATCGCGTGCCAATTATCTTTTTGAGTTCCACCAACCCAATGGCAGCTATAATGGCCATGATATATATATTGTCACAGAACTATTGACTGAGAATGCAAACACGTGAAGTAGAAGAAGAAATAAGATGAGTGAAGAAAAGAAAAAATGAAAGGACAGACAGGCAAAGAGACCATGGTTGCCCCGGACCCGGACATCCAGACACCGGACACGGGGCCCGGACCCGTGTCTGGATTAATCCGGACATACAGACATACGGAACCGGACGGTCCAGTTATGAGGTGAGGAACCTACAGTAGGGGATTGTCTTAAGGGATCCCGGTAGGAGGGTGTTAGTAGACAGACTCTGGTGGAGGAAATCGTTGGGGAACCTGCAGTAGCGGCTGTCTGAGGGGGATCCTCCAA